CTACTACTACTACTACTACTACTACTACTACTACTACTATACTACTACCCAGGACATCAGTGTCTTCTTTTGGAAATGTTTTGGTTTTGGTTTCCTGGTTTTGGTTACCGAATCAGCGGTTTTGGTTACCGAATCAGCGGTTTTGGTTACCGAATCAGCGGGTTTTGGTTACCGAATCAGCGGTTTTGGTTATCGAATCATAGTTACCGAATCAGCGGTTTTGGTTACCGAATCAGCGGTTTTGGTTACCGAATCAGCGGGTTTTGGTTACCGAATCGGCGGTTTTGGTTACCGAATCAGACGTTTTGGTTACCGAATCAGACGTTTTAGTTACCGAATCAGCGCTTTTAGTTGTCGAATCAGCGCTTTTAGTTATCGAATCATAGTTACCGAATCAGACCGTTTGGTTACCGAATCAGACGTCGACCCTTGGTTGTTGATGTACCGAAGGATCTATCTCCAGGTTCTTTTGACATGTTGTCCAATCTTGCTTCAGCAACTGTACTGCGCACAGTTGCTGGACCTCTTGCACTTGAGAGAAGGCTTCACAAGGCCGGAGTTCGAGGAGACCATGAAACACATCCATGAGACACATGTGCTCTTCGCGTAGAGCTTTGGTCCGATCATGCCAAAGCGATTGATGATAGACTGATAGACTCTGATAGACATGCGAAAAAGTACCAAAGTCTTCATGGGAAAGATGTTTCAAAGGAATTGCTTAAATAGATCATAACAGTAACAAGTGCCTTACTAGTAGTAACCAGAAGCTATTAGAAACAAGTGCCTTACTAGTAGTAACAAGTGCCTTACTAGTAGTATAAGAAACAGTTGTTGAGTTGTTCAATTTGTTGAACTCAGTTCGGCGAGGAGTTCATGGGCATCTTTGAACGATACCAGCGACGGCGGGGCGAGGTGGACAGTAAGGCAGGGGTGGCCAGACTTGGCACTCCAAGAATATGGCCCCAACAAAGCAAGTCAAGAAGGCAATACTAATTATGTACCTTAGTACTTCTGTTGCGTAGGGCAGGTTGGCAGCATCAGAATATTTGAGCCAGAGTAATGGCTGTATCTCCAGCGCCTATCCTGTGCGAACCAGCCATGCAGGACTTGCCATCAATCCTCAACTGGTTGGGCTTTATGTGGCCCAAGGAGCGGATACAGCAGGTCCTCACTCAGGCAGCCACAGTCGTGCGGACTTGGCGGACTTGTGTCGCCTTATCAGTCATTTCGGGACCCAACTGCTGTATGCAAGAGTACAAGAGTAGAGATCCAGGACCGGGACGTGTGACGCTTTGACGCCATACTTTGACGGCTTCTTTGGGTTGGGACGGCGACGGTCACTCCTTGTTGAAGACTGAGTGCGTTTTTTTTCAGGTGAAGACTGGGAGCCGCATCGACACCCACAACTTCATTGTTTGCATGCGTAAGGTCCGTGAGTGCGAACTGGAGGCGACGGCATCGCAGCAAATGGCGATGGTTGGTTGTCGCATCCTAAACTAACAGCTGTGCTGAACATTTTTCTTTTTTACAAATTACTTGAGTTAAAGATGTGAAGACAAAAGGCCCTCCTTGACTTTTGCGCCTCAGATGGTTCAACGTGTTATGCAGCGACACGATGCCGACCACTCTGGGACCCTGGACATGAGAGAGGCAAGCGATGCTCGTTGGGAGAGACTCATGGAGGACTGATCTTGGTGCCAGGTGGTGCCAGTTCTGAAGGAGATTGGCTATGCCCGCACCCCAGTCAAGCGGCAGCCGGAAAAGAAGTAGGACTTGATGGTCCAAATTGTGAGATAGGCAAAAGACAGTCTTAGTCAGTCGGATCTTGATTCTCTAAATTCTCTTGAGGCAAGTCTTTATTCTCAGTATCTTGAAGTTTTGAAGCCACGTATGTCGTGTCGGCATGACACAGATTCTGTTGGGTGGCTGTGACAAGGAGATGTGGGACATCTCGGCAATTTTCGAGGCTCAGATCTTCGAGAATCCAAGTAATCTCCACTCTGTTTTCGATGGGGTTCTGAAAGCGTTCACTAAGAGAAGTAGGTAATGTCCAAATTGGTTGGCTTGGTCTCCCTTTTTCAAGGCAGCCGAGGAAGCAGGTGTGCCGACCACCGAGCTGGCTCCTGAGAGAGTTCTGAGTGAGTTCTGGTTTTCGGTGCCCGCCGCAGAAGTGGGGATTGCAAGGCTGGACTTGAGTGCGTTTTGGCGCCTCCTTTTGACCTACCGGAAACGCGAGGACAGGGATTCGAACATGCAGGACGATTTGCAGTCGTTTTCTTTTTCAACTCCCCACAGACCATCATGGCCAGCGACTCGCCTTGACTCTCATTTTCGTCCATTTTCAATCTTTTCAAACTCCGCTTTTCAATTACAATAAGCGCTTTTTTCAACTATATAATTCGGCCGGTTTTGGCTTCGGTTTCCAGGGCTTTTGCGACATCGATCTCGAGCAGATCGACAAGGCCTTCGACAAGGACCGATGTGACAGATGTATGAAAGTTGCCGGCAAAGCTTTGAGAGACGACGCGCCAGGAGCAAAAGGAGTTGCTTCCAGCGCTAGAGGCATTGAAAACACTTCCAAGGCTTTTCTTACTATCGAATTGAGGAAGAACTTTCTTTTTGAAAGCCTCTGGCTTCTGTAGCAATGGTAGGGCCACTGCTCTCAAGTCGAGGCCATGTCTGCACTCAGAGAATTGGGCTTCACTGCCAACTTTCTGGTCATGGAAAGCATGCTGAACAAGGCCTGGACTAGAGCAGTTTGGTACGGATACCATCAGATGCCATTCAATTTTCCGAAGACGCACGTGACGACGCTGATTCCGGTTTCGGTGGTGGCATATTGCACAGGTTGATGTGGATGACACTGGGAGCCTCGACAAGTCTGAGTGCTCAACATTTGTGGCTGTACCTGGTGACAAGTATACCAAAAGGATCCAAAAGGTTTTTCTGTGAGTGCGAGACAGCAAAGGTCGAGCATGCCGCAGCCACGTTAGCTCAAAGGCTTCCATCACACTTTGGAACAGGATGGAGGTCACATCGCCAGCGCAGCCCACCAAGCTTGAGGAGGGGAGAGAGAAGTCGGAGAAGTCGGAAGGTTTTGTGAAGTCAAGAGGCTCTGAGATGTGCAACAATGTCCAACATGTACATGTCTATGCCTCTATGCTTCTGATTTGTGATGTGTCTTTGATTGCTGAAATCCAATGCAACTCTGTGGCGCAGCCTGTTCTTGAATGTTGAAGCACAGGAATCACAGGGCTCCGATGTCACAGTGGCTTCGGTCACGGTGTCGGACACTGCTGACACCGGGCGGCAGCCACCATGGTCGATGCTGGCAGCCTTGTGCCTGGCGAGTGCTGTTGAAGGCAAGTGCTGTCGGGTGGGCACAGAGCAACTTGTTGAACGGAGAATGTCAGGGCTGCTTTAGACCGGAGGTCGGGATGTTGTGGACGTTGCGTCGCGGGTGCACAGCACCTTCGTAGCTGCAAAAACAGGCTGATGTATAAACTGCATGCATACCAGGACAAACAATGGAATTCAGATGCATAATGTTTGACTGATAGTCTTCTGGCATTTTCTGACTTCTAGCCACAGTTTGCTCAAGGGCAGGGCCTGTGTGGCCTATGCCCAAGAGCAGCAACTCATGATCTGGTTTTTGTCTTCAATTGCGAAGTGAAAAGATGTTTGCATCATTGTTACAAGTTGTTCCTTAAGTACTGCTGAACCAGGAAGGAGGCCATCGCTTTTAGGTTGGAGGCCATCGCTTTATCGCTTTTGGGTAGGGGGGCAGAGCAGTTGAGCAGCTTTTTGGTGAAGTTCCTTTGTTTCCTACTGCTGCTTCTTTCCCGCGCATTGGAGCTTTCCCGCGCTTGGGATGCTGGAGCAATTGCAAGCGAAGGCTCGAGAGAAGATCTTGCTGGAAGCGCTTGAGGATGTGGAGTTCCGGTCAGAACCGAACCTAGACGGACCCAACTCCAAAGTAGTGGGCTTTTTCGAGTATGGCCGTGTGGTTCTTGTGAGAGATCTCACAAATGGCTGGGCCAAGCTACATGAAGACGAAGTGTGGGCCAGTACTGAGGGCATGGAGGGCGGAGGTGAACTTCCAAATGCCTTTGTATTGGTTGACGGCCGCCCCCTTGGCCTGCAGCGCTTCTTTCGGGTTTTCAGCAAAGACTTGGAAGACTGACTTTGGCTTCAGTCAGGCGTGTTTTTCTCTTCAGTTTGGTCATTTGCGGAACTGGCAAAGATAGGACCACCGAATCGTTTCTTGAAGCAAACGAGGGCACGTTAACCGCCCCCAGACGGCCGGATTTTTGGATCTCGAGCTTCTCAGGAAGACTGGCCCTTCTTTGAAGCCTTGCGCTGCGCGGAAGCCAATGGCGTGACGTGGCGAAAGCTCCCGCAAGGCTTGAGGCCCAAGCCCCTCATGGAGTTGGCCTGGCTGAGTAGTTGGCACTCACCGGATGGCACCCTGATGGAGGCACCAGCTTTGCTCCATGAAGATCACAGGATGGACTTGAAAGATGAGCATCTTCCGAGACTTTGCGTTGCATCCATGGTCAGGGCTCAATCAGCGAAGCTGCTGGAGAGCTTGATTCTTCAGCATCACGGAAATGGATTTCAGCAAGTGATGCTGTATTTTGATGCCCCGGATGAGGAAGGTGAGGCTGAGGCGATTGCAGCTGTTGAAGCGTTTGCAAGACCACTACCAACAGGTCCAAATGGCCTGCTGTGTTCCGCAGTTGCCATTCGCTGCACTGAGGAGTGGTGGAGGGAGGCGCGTGAGACGTCGAGATACTATTTGCGAGAGGATCACCCGCTGGAACTCTACCGTGAAACAGCACACCTTGATGCACACATCAAGGATGTTCAAGCGCGCCAAATGATTTGTATCGAGCATGCTCTCTTCACCGCACAAAAGGAAGGCTACCAATGGCTACTTCATGTGGATGCAGATGAAATTTTGTTCTTTCCTGACCAGGAGAGACATGATGATGCCCGGAAATTCTTTGCTGAGGTTCCACTTCATTTTTCGGCTGTGCGCTTTGCCAACCTCGAAGCAGTTCCGGAAGTCTTAGAAGTGGAAGATCCCTTTGAGGAGGTCAGTCTTTTCAAGATGAATCCAATGCTGCTTGAAGAGCTGGGCGTCGAGCCTCGCATTTTGTATTCTGGAGAAGTGGCGGATGAAGACCAAGAGCTTGAGCCAGACCTCTATGCGCGCAAACACGCGGACGCGGTTCCCGGAGGCCATCCGCATGGATATGTGCGGCTTCCTCGAAAGGAGAGGCACGCTCTTCGTCGCTTATTGGGCATCATGCATGAGATTGCTGCCAAGAGAAGTCCTGTACTGGAAGGGCTGGGCGTGAGTCTAAGCCCAATCGAACAGCGTCAGAGCACTGAAGACGACTCAAGTGATGATGAGAGTTGCCATGGGCCACGGCCACACTGTCCTGCCTTTTTTAATTCCTACTCCAATGGCAAGTGTGCAGTCTCCAGGAGATGCCTAGTTGCCAGCATTTTTACTTTTTGTGCTTTCTGTCGTTTTGGAGGCATCTCCCGTATACAGTATTTTTCCAGAAAAGACAAACAAGGTAAGGACGTCTATTGGGCCACGAGGTGAATTGCCACCACTGCCAGCAGGTGTTCATGGATTTCTTCGTGATGGAGGGATGACTCTCTACACCTTGCTTTGCAAGGGGCCTGGTGCACCGGTGGTGCTTCACTACGCCAACTGTGGCTTCAACTTGTGGCGCCAGAAGTATGACGTTCTCTGCAAGGACCACGGCACGGAAGATGGCGCATTTTCCACCAGGAGGCCTGGCATTGGCGAAATCCGTTCTCACATCGCCACGAGGCAACTCGTACTCAAAGGAAATCAGGAAGAACTGCAACGATTCTACAGGACCTTTGTGCCTTTGGCAGCATTGTATGAGATGTGCCTTTTTGACATTGAGATCTTTGGTCAGGATCGTTAACTGTCGCCAATTGGAGAAAAGAGCTCTTTGTTGTCAGTGAGCTCCCATCAATACGACTGAGCCTGTTTTCCAACATGTTACCCTTCAGCAACTAGAGCCTGGGTGTTGAGCATCTATGTGCGGCAGCCTGTTGCTGTTGGACTTGGTGCATTTCCCATTATCCTGACTTGCCTTTTTTGAGGGTCCTCCTTTTTCGTCGCTGCTGGCTGGCTTAGGTGGAGGGGAACAACTACGATGAGCTCGCTTACTTGGCCCAGTTTGGCTTGGTTCTTCGACTCTCCCGACCTCGTGAAAGGCGGGTGGGTCGGTTCAGCCAACGACCGAGGGTGACCGAGGTCATTGGAGGTCCAGACAGCATTCTTGCTCCTAGTAGCGATGCCCTTTGCTCCTAGTAGCATCCTTGCTCCTAGTAGTAAGGCCAGGAGCCCCTAGTAGCGTCCTTGCTCCTAGTAGCGATGCCCTTTGCATTCCCTGAAGGTTGACAGCATTGCGGCAAGTCCTCCAAGACTTTGGACCGCCTGTGGGTGAAGCGACTGCGGAGAAAAGTCTTCCGCAAGAGGGAACTGCCTTTAAGGTATCTCAAACCTTCTCAGAATTGTTTCATGGTTGTCAAGCACAAGCAATAGCCCTGGTCAACTATCATAACCTAATTTTCTTAGCACCAATGGTTCTTGCTACCAATCGTTAGGAAGTTACTGGGATATTGCACAGGCAGCTTTGCCGAGATATTGGCCTGGGCAGGCATCGATTCACAGCTGGTGCCTGCATGCCAATTCGCTTTGCAGAAGGGTGGCCTGATGAAGTTGACAGATGTTGCTCCTTGTCAGCAGAGTGAGAAGCCACATATTTGTAATTTGTACAATCTAAGAATAGAACATAATCCCTCATTTGACCCATTTGACTGCTTTGTGCCTTCACAGTTTCAGCGTATGGCGCGAACGTGCGCGATTCCGCAGAAATTGAGGCCATCCTGAGCACCGTTCAGATGGTCCTAACCAATCTGGCTGCACCCTTTTGGGGTGTCCTCGCTGACCGAGGTGAGAGGTAAAGTGGTGTGAAGGGTAGCTTTTCTAACTCGAGCAGAAGCAGTAGTATGAGCACGAAATGCCTGCTGGAAGGCATTGATCTCACGAGCCACCAGTATGGATGTCACGGTTGTGACACAAATGTGTGCTTCACAACTTCACAAACACAGACTGGAAAGAGGCTTCCAGAACCAGAACCTGCTTTTCTGACTGCTGTTTGGCAGGCTGCCTCAAAAGGAAGCACATCTTGATGCTTGGATCGCTGGGAGAGGCAACTGCTGCCCTTCGGCAACACCACTTCGGAAAGACCGAAAGACCTGGAGCTGCACTGAGAACGGTCAGGTGACTCGAGCGCACTGAGGCGACGTTGATGGCCTTTGTCCCCGCCAACGGATTTGGAATGATGATCGTTGATGTCTCAGTTGAAGAAGAATCATCATGAAGCAAACTTGTTGAGCCGCAAGTAGAAACGTCGAGGAGCGCCTAGTTGCATCCTTTGCTCCTAGTAGTACAGCAAAAAAAGAGCTGGAATGGTCTGGCTGTAGTTCTGGTCATGCATGGTGCTGGTGATGCTTAAGCAAAGGCTTTGCATTTCTTGCAGTTGCAAATCAGCTGTGTATCCTTACAACCCAGGCCCTTCGTGGAATGAGTGGATTCTTTCTGGCATCTTTAAGGCGTGGAATGATGGAATGATGATGGAATGGTTTGGAGCTGGCCAAAGCGCTCGTTTTGGGTCCACTGAAAGACATCGATCCTTCAACCCTCCGACGAGGCCCATTGTGAATGGCATTGTGGCAGATTCGACCTCTGACGATCGCCGTGGCAAAATGTTCTCCTATGTGCAGAGTGCGCTGTTGGTGGGCATGTGCCTGACGACACTGCACCTTGTTTTGCAAGAGAACGACCGAGTCCACTGACTCGATCGCAGGATTATCGGCATGCACTGAGGGTTGCTGGCAATTTGGCCAACATCACAATTGGTACCTTGGCAGAACTCATACTGCTGAGACGAGCCACAGTGTATTCGTATTCGAATCTAGAGCAAGGCTTTTTGAGCAGGCTCAAAGTGGGAACTAGCTCTTGATCATCTTGAAACACAGTGAACGCCCACTGAATTCGAGGAATCCTTTGTATTGTTTGCCTGAGGCGAAATTCCTGGGTGGCGAGCACTCTTTGTTTTGGGGGGTGTGCTTGCTGCTCTCATCGGTGCAGTAATTGGTGTATTTATGGCACCCTGTTTGCATGGCCTGGTTTGCTTTGGCACCTGCGAGTGTTTGGATGATCCAGTGTGACCTGAAAAAAGTCTTGGCCGACAGCTGGAGGTCGAGCCACCGAAACAGCTGGATGCCTCAGCAGGCAAGAGTGGATGCAATGCGGTGATTGAAGAATTGTGCATCATGGTGCGACCCTCAGAAATCAAGAGACTGCGACATCTCTGCAGGATACTTAGTACTTCCGAGTCGGTAAACTGAATCCACTGCTGAGGTGCACTTTTTAACAATCCCCACCTTTTTGATCATGGTGGTGCAGCTTGGGCTGCAGGAAAAAGCGGTGTGCGAGTTCGTTGGGAACTGACTTAGGCTTTAGGAGGATACTGGGATACCGGGGTTTACATGGACATCCAGGAGTTCCTGGTCTTCGTACGGTGGAGCCAGTTGAACATTGGGCTTGGACTCCTTGTCTTCTCTAAATCGGGTTCTTTGGAATACCAAGGCAAGGAATCTTTGGCACCATCCCGTGGACTGTGGCTTGGCGAGCTCATCGATTGAAAGCTGACACCCTGAGGCAAGTTATGACGTGTCAATCAATCTCTCCAATGATACCGAATGTTTCATCATTGGAGAGTTGATGTCACGAAGGACCGTGAGTTGATGTCACGAAGTGCAGGTTTGCTTGCCGTGAAGACCGGAAAGCATGCATGCAGCAAACATGCATCACAGGCTTTGATCTATGAAAAGGAGAGTGAATCCGCTATGTTCGCCAAGGTCATGGGCAACAACCTGCTCTTCTTCAAGCTCTCAGGTCTTGAGGATTGGCAAGGATCCCTTCTAGCATCAGAAGGCGCTTTGGCTGTTTTTCCACACTTTTTCCTTGACCCTTCTGAAGGCGAATCAGTTGTACAAGTTGTACAACATCAGTTTACTTGGCCTTTTCATGGTCTACGTTCCGCTCTTCCGTGATGTTCGTTCGAATCGCCCAAAAGGCACGGTGGTGGGTGTCTTCGGGAACCTGCTTGGGGGGTTCATCGCAGACATTTTAGCCAAGCGCTTTGGCTACCATGGCCGACCTCTTAGTGACACCTGGCTGCAAGTGCTGGTCATCACTTCAAGGAACCCTTGGAACAAAGGAAGATTAGTAGAACATAATTATATATACAACATGATAAGAACAAAACCATCGGTTGGAGACTGGAGGCCTCCTGAGGCAGGAAGAGCACTTTTTGGACCAGGCACAAGGCCTGAGGCTTGTTCTGTCAAGGCACAGATCAGTGTGGCCGTGGGCATTCCTTTGATCTACCTTTGGTTCGCGGGCATTCCACCAGGTTCCGACGCAGCGGTCTTCGGCACCTTGGATCAGACTTGTGGAAAGCCTCGTTCTTCTAGGGCTCAAGAGGCTCTGGAGGAGGCAGCTTGTTGCCCACCAAGTATCCCTCATGTTTGCTTGGTGTGCTTTGTTTTCAAGGGACTGCGGTGACCGACTTCCTGTTTTCACATGGCTCGCTGCCACAGCGAGGCGTCTACTTCACGGTGATCGCTTGCTTTAGCACCCTTGGAAACTGGGCACAGTCTGGGACCAACTTCCCGATCCTGTCGGACATTGTGCCCCCACAGAACCGCAGTCCCTTGGCACCGACTCGTCACAGAAGTGACACAGAAGTGACACTTGTGCTTTGTTGTGAAGCTTTTGCCTTTTGGTGCTGGATTCTCTGTGAGGTAAAGTCATGGCGGTGGAGTGCGCCCTTGAGAACTCCATTGCCACCCTCATTGGCCCCTTGTTCGTGGCAAACTTGGCGAACGCCTTTGGCTATGAGTTTGGGCGAAATGAGGACTGTCGCCGCCCGTGCTTTGCTTTTCGTTCTTTGGCCCGTGACCACATTAACAGCCCGAAAGCGAAGTTCCATTAGTGGTCATTTCGAGGTTGATTGTTGATTTCTGTTGAATGGAAAGCGGTACAGCCAAGATTTCAGAACGTTGAATTCATGGATTGGAAAAGGCAGAACAGCACTTTGATGAGGAACCTTGCATGATCTTGTATGAGTTTATACTTTCCAGTCATGAAGTTTTGAGCAAATTTGACCAAAGATGTATGTGACCCTGGGTGACCCAATTCTTTCAGAACTTGCACACCGAATCAATATGCGCCAGGGTGAGAGCAGAGACATCCCTTCTGCAGTTGCTTTGGGCCAGGCGATGGCCGTCCCATGGCACCCAATTCAGCGAGGAACGGGTCCCGAAACTACGAAGTCTGCGTGCAAGACACATCACTTTCGATGTTTTCCCCGGTTTTGGACCCTACTTAACATTGCAAGAACTAGGACTGCAAAAGATGTTGTGTCCAGGGCTCCGCATCTTGGGGGCTTTCTGCTTAAACACTTGCTTCAATCACAATCAAAGCCTGACTAGTGATGTGGGGATCATGTCCCCACTGTGGTTCAGAAGAGTCATTCTTATTTTTGTTAGTTCTAGATAATGTTTCTGCACCCAAGGTCGGGCATGTTTGTTCATTTTCCAAGCCTCGGACGCCCAGGCAACAATTTGTATCCCCTGGTGCGTGACCTTCTTGGGGTACAGCTTTTTCCACATCAGCTACCCCGCAGACATGCGCAGGCTTAAGGCCAGAGCGCTGACTTGTGACTTGATATGGTATGGATAATCTTTTGGAGGGCAGAGGAATTGGAGGTGAGGTGAACCATGCGCTTCGCGCAGTTTGTGTAGCAAAGAGCCGAGGAGAAGGTCAAAGAGGTGTTTCAGTTTGGCTGGCCAGGTCCAATACTCCCAATGTTGCCCTCTCAGACACCTAACCTTTGTCCTGCTCGTGCCTTCAGCCAATCTGAGTTGTAGACGGAGAGACGTTTGCAAACTTTGACGGCCATCCTATGAGGGCCGTCAATCCGGTCCTATCCTTCCAAGAAACTGGCGTTCCGGTCGACTGTCTCTGTGAGGCGCAGCTCGAGAAAGAGAAAGCCAGCGCGGCCAGCGGGGCTGTGGAAGTGAAGGAAGCTGAAGTAATTTAGGTCCGGTCGCCTGGAATGAAGCTGAACTTTTTGGATGTTCAATCGGAAGGACCATGTTGGCTATTTCAATGCTGTCTTCCTCTAAGCATGCATAGATAGGCACCCGATCCATAGGTTGGTGGTCGACTTTCCCTCCTATCAATCATCAGTCGAAGAGACATCCACATGTGTTGGATTCTTCCGTAATCAATCCCTACTGGACGGCCTTTGAGGTTGAGCCAGACCACGTTTGCTGAGCTCAATTAATCCATTATCTTTCGACAAGAGCCACCAATCTGGCAGCCTTTGTTGAATCACTGAGGCCAAGAGTGCCCTTGTGACCAGCGTTCTTTTTGGCACAGCACCGTGTGTCAGGTACGTCAGGTGTTTGTGCTTTGGCCAGTTTGATGACCCACCTTCTGACTACAGAGAGAGGTCTTAGCAAATCATGAGGCTGAATGCTTTATGACTTGAGATGTGCAGCTCACCATTGACATTTACTTTGCGGCCAAAGAAACACTCCACCAATGCCCACAAAGGCTGCTGTAGCCGGAGCCGAAGCTGCTCAATTCGAGCAGCGGTGGCTCTTGGGTGACTTCATTAGGATCTGTTGTAACCCGTACAGCAGGTTGGAATTTGCTATTGCAGTTGGCCTGGCAGATACGCCCAGACATGCAATCCACGCATCGATCAAGGATCAAGGGGAGGTGACGCCACAAGTTGGCATTTTGTCGTGGTAAACCACCTGGATTGGTCCAAAGAACATGGCGCTCAAAGGATGAAACGAGATGAAACGAGTACGCACCCAAACATGAAGGTTGGTGGCAGGGAAGAACTCATGGCTCAATGAGTTTGTGTCTCTTTTTCTTGAACAACGCAACCCATCTGTCAGTTCTTCCAACGACGCTGTCAGTTTCCGTCCTGAGCTCGCTGAGAGACCTCGCTGCTGAGGCGAGAGTTTCGGAAGATGGTCCGTGTCTTTTCTGCAAAGAGGAGGACCACTGGACGAGGATTCTACGGGACCCGTGAAGGTCGCGTCTTGGAAGGTCTACCCAAAGATGCTATGGGGATCGTGTAGGGCGCGACAACGATGACTAGGCCTCTTTGCAAAGTTGGGAAGTCCATTCGGAGCCAATTGCTTTCGCTTTTCCAAGGCATGCTGCAGGCGCGATGGGTAGAGTATGCTGTGAGAAACAGATAGATCCAGGCCACTTAGTTAAGTTTCCTTAAAAATCTAGGAACGAAATGAATAGAAGCGTGAGCTATCCTGTGTCCATACGTAGTAGCTGACTTGTAGGTACTAGCGACTCCCTTGCTTGTACTAGCTACCGACTCCCTAGCTAACCTACCTCTTCCCTCTACTAGCGGCCTACCCCCCCCAGAAAAAAAAGAATCATTCTGAGCGCTTCTTCAGAAACCAAACTTTAAAAGCGCAGTGAAGACAAGCCAATGTTTTTCTCTACTGCGCACTTGATTTCTGCCGAGCCCCGCCAGGAGCGAGAGACCTTCAACTACAAGAAGGCTTGAAACTTGAAAATGTACCCTGCCTCATTCAGGTGGAAGTTTCACATGACCTTTGGGAAGGCTATTTCCGAACAGAGTATTTCTGCGCTTCTTCTGTGCACTTCTTCGGGGTCGCGTGCTGGTAGGCCTTCTGGGCTGCTGTTCCAGAGGGTGCACAGGCTGGGCTCTGGACCGCCTGACTGAAAGGACAGCCCGACCGCCATGCCCCGCAGGGTCTCAACGAGAAGGAAGCTGCCCAGGTGGAGCGGGAAGCTGGACGTCTTAAGACATCGATTGGAAGCGTCCGCCAAGTGTGGAATCGTGCGAGAGGACCCTAATGTGACAGGAGTTTTTGTGGTAGCATTCAGTCACCCAATCAAACAAAGCCCGCTTGATAGATGAAGTTATTGTTGTCAAACAATCAAAATCCAAACTCCCTGCTCGTCATTTTGATAAAACAGAAGCATGAGCGAACACATCCAGGCAATCAAAGAGCTTGGCTTTCGTGTTCGTCACCAGGCTGCGTTGGGTGGTATCAATCTGGCCGATTGACCAACTTGGTCATCACGTCCAGTCTCATTGTTTTGATATGTTTTGATCAATTTGTCCCATCCTGCAACGACCAATGTTTACTGCAGGGTCGAAGTGGAAGTTCTGTTTCTTTTGCAGTCCACAGCTGCGAAAATCGAAACGAAAGGCCTAAAGTGTCTGGACTTGCCAAGTGTCTGCGAGTCTGGACTTGCCCAGCATAGATTGAACATAGGCATCAAAGCTGTTCTAAACTTTGGTGCACAAGCCTGAACAACTTCAACATTATTCCCAGCACGATTTGCATCATTTGCTTTTGTGATTTCTGCATCCAAGTCATCCTTCCACGTAACCCGCCAGAACTCACCTTTGGCAGCTCTGCCTCTGGGGCAAGTTCATGTCCAAAATCAAAGCTTCCCCTGGCGAGTCCTCCAATCTTCAGACCCACCTGTCGTCTGAGCGTCGCGCCATCGCTCGCAGTACCTTTCCTTGGCAGCACAAGTCTGTGCCAAGTCACACCGTGTGGCCCGGCTTCCCAGAACACCGAGACGGACGTCGGAGATTGGAGAACGCTGATTGGGGCAAAGAGCCCGGGCGCAGCGATGTCGCCAAGGTTGACACAGATTTCATTGGGGGTGGATATTTATTTTTTCGTAAAGGTAGTTTACAATTGTTTTTCTATATAGATATGTTTTTTCTTTTGCTGTATTTTTTCTTTTGCTGATTCTTTTGGGTTTTGCCGTTTTTTGCTTTCTCTGCTTCTCCGCATTTGCTTCGTTTGGTGCTTATTCTGCTTTTTTGCTCTTGCTGTGTTTTTATTGTTGCTTCCTTGGGGTTGAACATGTCAGGTGATGTCAGGAGTACAGGCGTGTTTGAAAGTGGTTGCAGGGAATCGATCTGACACCTCAGGGGTTAGCACCAAAAAGTTGTCTACTTGGCCGATTTTTCTCTGAAGCCATGACACCAAGTGAATTGAAGACGTTCTATGGAGCAGAGTAGAGCAGTGGCATAAATAGGTTGAACCCTAGATGCGCATTTCGTATACATATATTATTAATTTTTAGCTTCTGGTGTGTAGAACATAGCGATTGGCGTCATGCAATGTGATGAAACAGCAGATGAGGAACAGAAACACATAATAAACTTCGAAGGGGTGGATGTTTGCTTCCACCATTTGCCGCCATTGTGCTGAACCATGGTTTGCAATGGCTGGCTGAGCTTGGTAGTTCACCATGTTCACAAAAAGCTGGAAGCATGTCGAATATTTTGAACACGACAGGCAAGATCTATCAGGCATGCGGCATTCCTGATAGACCTCGCGTGTCGAGGCACACGACCGCACGCGGGGTATGTGGCATGCCACATGCCCCACGTGCAGTCGTGTGGTTTGTTCGACAGCCTTGAAGAAGCACGTGGCCGCCTGGGCCGCCTGGGCCAAGAAAGGCTGGCTTATTTTTGCTCCAGTTGCCGAAGTTGTTGAAGCACAGGGAAGTTTGACATGCAATGGTCAACGACCCACATTCTCTATGGACACACTCGGATCTCATTCTTTTGCGGCCATTCACTCACGCCCTCCGCACAAAAGTCTTAGCTTCGAGAGCATCAGTTGGACTGTGGTTTTGTTCTACCCTCCTGCCCCTGCCAACAATTGCCCATGTGCCTGATTTTAACCTTTTCATGGAATTTGATGAACATAGTGCAAGATTCTTATGGGCTTGCGCGTAAGAATACCACCCTCTCTAATTCACTCTAGCGGTCGACCACTTTTGTTGACTTGGTGTACTTGATGGTACTAGAGTTGAGGCACCCTTTGTGTTGTTGTGCCTGTTAGGCGTTTACGCACTTCACCCCTCGGGTTCTGAATTTCTCCCCCCGCACCTTCCACCAAGAAATTTAGAATAACTTCTGGAGCGGCCAGAATCTGTTGAACGCTCAGGTGCACGCCGTTTCGTTGAATGTTCAGGGAATGTGGGCCCGTGTGGGTAAGGATTCTTTGTGCATATTTCTGGATGCAGCGGTTCGGACTTGTAGAGCCCAAGTGCTTTGCTTGACCAAGCTCATGGGCTGGGAAGGTGGGCCTGCTGGGCTGCCACCCAGCAGCCCCATCTGGATTGATCAAGCGGTCTGAGCATTAACAAGTTGCCGAGTGCAGGTGGTGGGGTCCACACTAGGTGCGTGGTGGTCATCCAGCTTATGTTGCAACAGCGCTGGGCATGGCAGGCTTCCGAAGCAAAAAGGTACAAGAAACAGTTGTTAAGCTGTTGAGAGAGGAAAGAGGACAAGCAGCCATCCGAGAACAAGAGTTGCAAGAGGCACATCACAAAGCACATCACGAAGAAGACGTCTTGAAGAAGTGTGATTTGCCAGGAAGCTAAGCCAACCAAGGCGTTTGTTCCGTGTGGACATATTTGTGTTTGCGCCCCTGCTGGAATACTTACCCACAGCAGGGTGGTGGGAAATGCTGTCCGACTTGCTAGAAGCAAGTGGATCTTTCATTTGCAGCGTGTGGGAGCACCTGAATTGTATACAATCGAATGCATGGTTTCATGGAATTTTGTTCTTGCCTAGTAAAAAGTGCATTGCTACTAGCAACAAGAGCATTACTACTAGTAGCTTCTAACAAGGGCATCGCTACTAGTGACAAAAGGTGGTCCATCATAGAATCTAGCCAGTCCATCGAATTTGCAAGCATGAAGGAGGAGGTGATAGAAGGCAGTGCAAAGACCAGACACGCCCATGTTTAAACTTGTGACCTGATTGTGGAATCGTTTGATGTGTTTGTGCCTCAACTACCCGCAATTTTTGATTGTAAAACACAGTGCGTTGGCTTCGGTTGCCTTCCCAAAACTTGAGACTCAGCGGCCTCGGGGCTGCCCTCTTATACAAGTCAGTGTCCTCATGCTGGCCATGTTACAATCTGCCGGCAGCAAATTTCTTCCATCTAAGACTCAGCAACCTCCCAATAACAGCACTTTCCAAATGTTTGGAAAGTGCTATTATTGGGAGGTAGCTGAGTCTTAGATGGACAAATTTTGCTGCCGGCAGATGCAAGATATCTTGGGGTTGAAAATGGTGTCTGGTGATGTCAGCATTTCAGGCGTGTTTGAAAGTACCGGTGGGGAAAAAATCATGCATTAAAAGTGCACCCTTTCATTGATGTCATGGTCGTAGATTTGGCCCGGAAATTGTCCCAGGACGAGCCCTTCCTGGATCAGATGGCCTTTGTACGTCACTCTTTGGCATGTTTTTCCAAGGAAGATACTGTGCTGCCGGGTCCTTTCTCCTATTTTTGTGCACCTTTAGTGGCAATTAGATTTGTTCGGACCTCCTGATTTTTTGGCAGTGGGTGTAAATTGGATGTGAGATCATGTATGTAGAGATTGAGTTCAGCTCAGCCAGGTGTTTGCTCCTATCATTCACGAGACTTGAGAGAGGTCGGACTGGGTTCATTACTGAGAAGAGCACAGACGGCTAGGCTATGTAGATACTGATATACTGAGTTGAGCTGAGATATCAAAAGCAGAATATCCGTGGCACATTCGTTTGGAGCGCTTCTTGTACACCCTCCACTGGGCCCAACTGCTCACCTGCATGTGTATATATATATATAACAAATTATATATGTAGCAGGACAAACTCCGAATTTCCAAACTTTGTTTGTCGAATCCACAGTCGAAGATTTGCAGGTGTACAAGTCGAACGGCGGTTGGACAGAGGGTGAGGCTGACAGGGCCGAATGGCTTCTGAAAGTACTTTTTGCTGAGTCCGTGTATTGAGGAGGAGATAGGTCTGGTGCATGGACACCTGCAAAACTGTAGATTGTAGTTTTGGGATATTCTAGACATCATCTTCACACAGATGTAGGACTTTTGCTTTAGACAAGGGCTTAGGTGGCTCTTGTACGATATGGCACAGCAACATGGTGTGTTGTTTACAGTGGTCTTTTCTGCCAGCCTCGAAGTTGAAGTCTGAGTTTCATGTTGGCTTGGAGAATATATATATAGAGTGTCTGGCGTTTCTGCAAGGTAAACCACTTGCAAAGTGTCTTCAACCGATATGACATCAAGCATACTGGCCTCATTGCCAGCAAGGAGTTGGACACTCAACCCAAGGATTGGAGTGAGGCTGACTTTGCAAGACATGAATGGAACAAGACATGGCATTGAGTTTACACGTGGCATTGTCTAGCGAAAGCACTTGGGCGACTCGGTGGGTGCCTAGGTTGGTGCGGATGGTCGAAGATCTTTTTCCTGTTCTTGCGCGGGACAGGCGTGGAAGGTGAACGTCGGTGTTCCACAGGGGTGTTTCTACAAATAGGGGACTGTCGCAGTCAGAAGGAGAGTGATTTTTTGGGGCCTATTTTGAGAAGCACTAACATGTTTTGACCACTTCAAGGGTGCCTTCGGATTTTAAGCCTTTGATGCTTGGCACGTTTGAACGATCCTCGCTCCTTTTCACGAAGCTGAATGTCCATAGACTGTCCATAGACGAGTCGAGGGGTGCACTGTGCACTTTTCATTGATGTCTCATGCACTCATGATCATGTTCTTTGAGGAAGATGCGGCCGGAGTTGCAAAGAATCATGAAAGAGGCGTCTTATTGGGGCATGTTTGTCGGAGCTGGATGTGGTTGGATGAGACTCACATGTGTGCAAACTTGAGTCCCACAACCCAGAACCCATTCGGAGCAAAAGCAACTCGCGTCGAGTGTTGATTTTTTGAGATGCGCTCTCCAATCCCTGGGTGCAGGTGCTTCAAGAGACATGGTCCTTTCAGGGTCTCGGCTTCAAAGACTTCTTGAAGCTCATGCGGCTCTTCCGGGAATTCCAGGACAGCTTCAGATGGCAACATGTTGCCATGGCTCTTAGGTCTTAGGTTGGAGGCCATCGCTATTAGGTTCAACAACCAGGTGTTTCGCAATCCACAAGTTTTGACAAGAACTGGATCGGCCAAACAGGACCGCGAACGTTCCAAGAAGGAGGCCCAAGCCATTGAGGCCCAGAGTGGCACAGGGCGGTGAAAAGAGTCTTGAAAGGATTTGAACTAAGATTTTCTTGATGCATGAGAAGATTCTATGGGAGTTCGTAGACTGTCAACCGTGGTTTCATGTCTTGACATTCCAATAATTATCTCCAGGATTGTTTTGCATAGCACGAAGGAGACTTGGGACACAGATGGATCATGACAGGACACAGGGTTCAACTCTTCTGAAGTTGCACAGCCGGGAAGCTTACAACCTTTTGCTGTCGATTGTTGGATGAGTGGCGAAGCCCAACTTGACGGTTGAGCTTCTGGAAGCAGGGAGGAGGAATATGTAAACAGATCCTTTTTGTGAGTTCTCCTCAACTCAATGCTGAACGGCATAGTGACTGGTTTTTTTGGTCCTTTTTCACAAAAGACTTCCAACTCTGGTCGCTTGGTGGGGGTTCAGTAAGTCTTGCTCTACAAGCACTGCTTTTGGGATCAGACTTTTGAGAAATTGCAGTATTTAGTGGACCAGATTTTGTTTTTGGAGGACCGTGTGTGAACTGAGTACTTGTGGAGCTGCTGTCTAAGGTTCCGAGACTTCTTCCTGGCAGCACACGCCCATTCAAATTCTAGAAGTGCAGGACCTGGAGTGGAGATTTGCTTTGATCAGGCACGAACCCGCAGACGCGATCCAAGCTTACAGGGCAAGATGAAAGTACACAAATGCTCAAAGTGGAGCGCATCGTTGGATTCTTTTTTAAGGTTCAAATCATCAAGTACTAGAAGTGGAGAGTAGAGTTCAGTATAGTATACAGTATGTTCAGTGCAGAATATGGTGTCGTCGTGTTGTAGAACTAGTCTTTCAGTCTGGTTTCTGCTTGCGAACCATGGACTGGACTTCGATACTTAAAGGTCACTGTGTTGAAAACTTGTCAGAACTGACAGTTCTGGAAGATGATCTTCGACATCACTCCTCTGGGCGATTCGTTGACAGCACAGCTCAAGAATATCTTTCACCAGGCCACGACGCAAACATATGCGACAAGACCGTCATGGGACGCCAAGACCGTTGTGGCAAGACAGTTAGCATGGGTGCAGCTTCCAAGTTGTTGGTTGCTCTCCTCTGACCTTCTCATCCACCGGCCTCCAGCGCCGCAGTTCACGCAGAAGAACCCCAACGCCGTGCGAAGCAAGCAGCGCGTTGAGGACGGCTTAGGTGATTATACTTATACTTCATATAGATTCCCGATTGTCCGTTTGTACTCCGCTTATTTTTCGTGTAGGTGGACCACCATTACTACAGTATATACAATGAGGTCCTTGACCTTCAAATAAAAAAAATCATGAGTTCAAGGCTATGCCTGGCACAGGAAAATATTATATAGAAACCAGCATTTTTGCACAGGACTTCATAGAAGAAACAAGTACAGGACAAAATATATGAACACATTTCAATTTCTCCGGGAATCATCTCTCCTGCACCGGTGTCAAGGGCAAAAAAGACAGGCCGTCTTTTATCACACGAAGCCACCAGGATCCACGGAGCATTTAGCAGAATAGGACTCCATAGTCTATAGTTTGGGATAACCAGTTGAGGATGCGGACTTCCCAGAGTTCTTGCTCATGATGAAGCACCTGTTGGACATCAACTTCGCAAAGATTCAGGCACAGAAAACTCATTGAGAATCAACTTGTTTTTCTCACAACCCAGCACTGTCAGTAGGGTCAGTTTGAGCCCAGAGTGGCTTTGGACCACGAAGACCTTTCGAAGACCTGACCAAGTTGTTTGTTCCTAAGCCTTGAGACTGAGACTCGCCTGTTACCAAGAGACGCTTGGCTGAGCATTTGCTTGTGCAGGAGAAGACGAGGTCATCAAGGCAAGAGATTTCAACGGGGGAGTTCCCAGAGAGGGCTGTGTTATGAGTTATGAACCATACAGTGCTTGATCCAGCAAGCCGTGGTAGAGAAACTGGGAGCAAAAAAAAGAAGAAAAGATAAGACAAGACATGACAGTTGTTGGTTTTGTTGATTGTTACCGTTTAATCACATCGTTCTATCTTTTGGGTCTGTACCACTTTGTGATTCGACTGACGACAAACCCTTCCCTAGTCGATTTTGAACACCCGTGACACAAACATGACTGGCTCAGGGCTCTTCTGTTGTACGTTCAAAATGAACATGATGTCAGCTCGTCAAGGACGAATGGCAAACCAATACCAAGGTCGAACCTTGTGCTATTCATTTGAGGTGCCCATCCAATGCACCTGACCCATGATTTTGGGGGAGCTGGTTCTTCAACCAATTTCAGTGCTCCAAGTTGGGATCGTTTGGACCTCAAGTCCATTTCGCCTTGGCGTCGGACTTCGAAACGAGTGTCTGCTCAGGGTCTGAGAAGCGGGTCTTCGCCCTCCGTCCTTTGCGGTTCTCGACATCGGTCGGGTCACTTTTCTTCGTGGACGACATCGTGTGCTCCTGGATTTCTGTGCAAATATGTGCAAATGCACAAAGGAGTGCGTCAAGTTGTTTGGCGGTTCTGAATGATTTTCCGGCACCTCCGTCGCGAGGCTTTCTCTTACCGAAGCTTCTGCTGGCCATAGCGGGCGGGTTCAAGAAGTCAACTAGCTTCAGCTTTGTTGGTTTCCGAAGGAGTCGGAGAAGGGGCTGAACATCCACCCGGAGAAGGGGTTTCCTAAGGAAAGCTGTTTTGCCGACCGAGCTGTTTGTGTATGCAAGAAGTCGGGGGGCTAGATCAGATAGAGGAACCAAGGCCATGTCACAGTCCTTTGAACGCACCGAGACGGCACTTCAATTGTCCAGATCAGAAGGGAAAGCCCCTCAAGCGACCAAAGTAAGGTGGGAACACTTGCTGCTAGCTGTTCCAGATGTGCTTGGCTTTGCCCACTCACTTTTGAAGTCAATGATGAGTTGCAGACACTGCAAGTTGGTGACGAAGCGAGCGTTTCATGGTACAGAAGGCAGCCCTCCTGAGAAAGTGCACGCGGTTGCTGGATAGAGTCGAGCTCCTCTGGGTGCAACGGCTTTACTGTAATTGTGACAATTTTGGAAAGACTACATAAGACATCATAAGACTACGTAGAAGTATGTATAAGTTGTTTAGTGAAGTGAATTTCCTTCCTGGCCCTAGCTGTCAGATAGATGATCGAATGGCAGTTTCCCTTTTTTGACATCGTTTCTCCTGGGAGTCTGACTGCCCAGCGACGTCAACTGGACATGACGCGACGTGAGTTTTAAACGCTGCAGAAGCCAAGGGCCTGGATACTGCGATCGTTTAGTCGACGACCAAAACCTCAAAGTGTCGTTTCCCTCGATCAACATTTTCCTTTTCGAGGGATTTGGGGTTTGGATTTGGACATCCTTTTGCATCGTATGGCAGTTGAAACAGATGCCTTTTGTGAAGATTTGTCGCGACACCTGTAAATGAATCGATTCAGTTGAATCGATTCCCACAGCCGAGAATGGCAAATATCAGCTTTTGGTTTTGTTTGGTGATTGATATTTTCCATAGACCCGCAACTGGGTTTAAATTAGATGTCGTCATCCAGGGCCCGTTGCGCATCGCACATCGAATTTAGGCTCGGCGAGCAATTATCCATGAAGTGGATTCGTTTGCGCAGCTGAGAGGTCTGGTTGGTGTGTGAGGAGGCGAGTGTCCATAATTTCCCATTCTATTATGTTCTAAGTTTTTATTTCTAAGAATCCTATTTGACATCCATATTCTCAGATTCTAAGCGATATTTCTATCATGTTCATATTGAAGATGCTGAACAATCACACACGCGCTTGAGCCCACAAGCGCAGCTCGACATATCGTGTGGAGGCGCAACGACGACCGTTTGAATCGATGTCACTGTGTCAGCTTTAACGTGCTCGGTTGATCAGTTTTCAGTAACTGAACTTGGGTCACAGGAGGTCAGGACTCCGTTTGGATGGGAGGCTGGATTTCGTCCAGGTTTGGGTCTCCACACTTCTCCGAGGAGCCCGTTTTCCGGTTTGATTTCTTGTCAACTGTCGAAGATGACTCATTTTGGGCATCACCGCCTCGCCTTTGTGGCTGATCTGCTTCTCCGCCTGTCGTTGTTTCGTCCACCTCCGATTCTCAGCTCGAGTGTTTCCAATGAGGAGTGGGTGTTAATTCATCTATATATCTACTTTCCTTACCAGAGCAGCCTTATGTTGGATCGTTCGATCTCTTCTTGTTGCTCCTTTCTTTGCAATGGAAAATGTAATCTCATCATGCATTGAGTTGCGGTAGGTTCTTGTTACCCCTTGTGATCACACTGTCACACCGTGGCCTTGGCTGAAATCGAGTTGCGGCATTGCTGCCCCTTCTAGCAGGCCTTTGCCTCCACATTGAGAGGCAAGCAGGGGTCCAGGCTTCCAAGTTAGAGCTCGCAGCTTGGTGAATGTGACCACAGTACCTGCACACCAGACTGGGAGTGATCCTTTTTCAATTGAAACAAAACCTGTTGGGAGGCTCTATGCTTTGGCGATGGCTTCTGATTTGGCCGGCATTCTCAGTGGAAACCGCGCGGCTCTTCCGGTCTACCGCTTTGCCCAAGGTGCGCTTCGGTGCAGAGTTGCAGCTGTAGCCGTCCACACGTGCCTTGCTTCGTAAATCTGGCGGCCGTTTGAGGCGGGAGGCAGGCTGAAGAGGAAGCAAAACAGGGATAGGTGTGACATTCACAAACTTGCACCCTCCAGCTGATGGTTGATGCATGACGATTGGGAACTGAGGCCAGATATTTGCACAGCAAGAAAGATGTTGAAGATGATTTTCAGCTGTATGCCTAGCATACTTTGTGATGCATAAGGATGTCTGACATGGACTACTGTAGCGTGTAGACGCTTCTAACTTTATTACAAAATCTTGACTCTTCCATCGGCCACATTGCACTAGAATGACATTGGTCACCTTCAGCCAAAGCTCAATGAACTTTTCGGCTCACTGAGGCTGTTAACCAAAGACCTTGACGAGGAGAGCGGTAGCACACAACAAAGCTATTCTGGTGAAGTTTTGAAGAACTGCTGTGGGTACCAGTTCACCCACTGCCCAGTATGCCGAGCTCTTGCAGAATGCCAAGACAGCCTCGCAATCTGCGGAGGCAGAGAAAACTTCTCCAACCCTTCAGTAACCAGGGCAAAACATGTTTGATGAACAAGTACTGCTTTCCAAATGGCCCTACTTGCTTCGCTGATGTTCAATGAGGAAGCAGCGCACCAGTTTGCGAAGGAGAATCCAAAGGACCAATTCTTTGCATTCTTCTCTAAAGCAAACACCTTTTTGCTGCAGAGAGGACAATGTTGTTTTGCTGGCTCAGTCAAAGCCACAGGATTTTGCGCAGTTTCAGCAGCATGTCTTGGGCCTAAACTTTGCCTTGCGAGATTGCAGGAGTTGGAACCGGTGAGATGACTTCAATTGCTTGTATAAGATTTGTTTGCTGCATCCTTGTCGCCTGAAAACTTTCCTGTAATGACCACAGATGTTTCAAGAAGGCTGATTTATGCTTTATGGCTTTAGGAGGGAAGTGCTTTTGGCCTTGGGCGGCTTGCAGTGCGGCTTGCAGGTCAAGAGTGCAGCACAAGAAGCAGCAGTGGCCCTTGAGAAGGCGAATGCAGAGCTGAAAAAGGAGGTTTCACACTTAGTGAGCCCAGACGCAACTGGGTGTGGATAAATTGCAGATCAAGAACAGTTGGGCAATTTCTTGGATACGCATTTCGAACACAGCCAACTTAATGCCAAAGAAGTTGTTCGCATACGAGACCCACTGGGACGTTAGATTAGATCTGACCAACTCAGCAGAAAGGCTTGTCGAATGTGTGGAGAAGCCAACTAAGCTGAACAGAGGTTCATTGTTACAGCACGGTAACACCATGCATTAGGCGCACAAATGTGGTTCAACAGTACTTTCGATCTATTTTGATTCTTTTCTGCATGTCAAATAACTTTCTAGATGCATCCACGTTTTCAGATGTTCGACTGAAGCAAAGGCTTTGTTCCTTGTTTGGCTTCCACCCAGGATGAGGAAACACCTCGTCAAGCACTCCGAGAAGCAGAAGCTGAATAGTTGCGGTTGGAGAAAGAGAGCCCGAGTAGCTTTGGGAGTGTGCTAAACGACAGTTTGAACACAGGTTTTGAATCAAGGTTGCTCGGTGCTAGCCCTTCTATAAGAAGCCAAGAGGAACTATTGAACGTGAAATTAAGGGACCCAGCTCCACCGACTATTGGTCATGCCAAAATGGCATTCCAAGACTCCAAGACGGCTGAAAGACACCACTGATACGACGGTTTTGGGCTCAAGAACCTCAAATACCACCAGCATCAGTCACGACCAGGTTGGTCCATGAGCAGCTTGATCCATTCTTTCCTGCAGACAACGAAAACTGTTGAACAAAGGATCGGTACCGACTGGTACCCTGGCGATGCCTTGAGCAGGCGATGCCTTCAGGTAAACCCAGCTTGTTCAACGCCCCGAGAGAAGCCACAGAAAACTGAAGCCTGTTCTGTCCACACGGAGCAGATACAGAAGACTTCTCCCTAGCCTACCATCACTAACCACCCTACTGAAGCTAGCGGCAACCCCAAGCTGTCTCTGGCAACCCCACCAGCGAGTGAGCACTGTGTGACACTGTGGCGCACGTTGCGCTGCACCATGCGCTGTTCCTTAGCTGCAAGGGTTGGTTCGGAATGGAGAACGGCTGCTTTGTTAGAAGAGAATGTTCAATTTGTCATTGGTTGATTGGTGCTAGCAAGCTTTGTAATTTTAGCAACTCCATCAACTTTTGATCACGGGCGACGGTTTAACGGTCACAAGCTGTGGCTTCCAGACTGTTGTCCGTCCGGGCCACACGCTGTGGGAGAATGTGGTGCTTTTTGAAGGGAGAGGGGACGACCTGGATGATGAACTGATGAACCTGTTGTTGTCTATGGTCAAACTGCGTCTTCGCATTCGGACCATCTTTGGCGCGGAGGGAACCAGGTGATGGACATCTCAAGAATCTTGGGGAACAGTTCGAGAGAGAATTCCTTTGACCTGAGGCCGGGATGCTGGGACGGAAGAGAGAAGACCTAGCCTCGAAGGCAGTGTTGGGAAGGGGAAGGGAAGAAGATCGTTTTCGCACCATGGCCATCTGGAATGGGTTGATATGGTTTGTATGTACAACTTGATACACAAACGGTCAAAATACCTCAGACCAAGGATATGACTTAATCTTGTGGTCTATATACGGTTATACTGTATACTGTATACATGTATACATCTATTCCTCTAAACTCACGTTTTTTGGCACAACAAATGTCTGGCGAAGGGTGGCACCAAGAAGCGGAAGAAGTGGCAGGCAGGGAGATCACGGGAGCTCAAACCAAACGTCCTACTCTGGGAGATCCGGACCGGCAAGGGGATGACGTCCTACCAGTCACACAGAGATGACTAGTTTGCCGAGTGATTTTCTCAATTTCGAAGTTGCCGGGAGACTGTTTGTGACTCCTTAGTAATGCCCTTTGCTACTAGCCTAGTAGTAAGGCCAGGAGCCCCTAGTAGCGTCCTTGCTCCTAGTAGCGATGCCAGGAGCCCCTAGTAGCTTCTTCACAACATTGTGGGACAGTGATACTCAATGACCTGCAATCGCATAGCTACTCTCTGCGCAGCAGAGGAAGAGTCCGACGAGGACGATGAGCCTGAAGCGGCCTCCGTGACAGTAGAGGAGATGGAAGAGTGGAAGGCCAATTGAAAAACTGTTTGGTGACTGAGGAGCTTCCGCATCAACTAGCATCATGATGGACGAACTCTGGAAAACCGACCACAAAAACCGTTACAGTAAAAGATGCAAGGATTTTGGTCGGCTTTGGCCGAAAGATCTTTGTGCGTTGCCGCCAGTCGTTTGAGGTTGCATTATGCTACAAGCGCTCAAGCTTTCTGCATGACTGGCCACTAGCTACTTGTAGAGCAAAGTCAGTGCAGAGGTGAAATTGTTGGCCTTGCAAGGCAAAGATGGCAGAAGAAGAGCACTCCTGGCATAATTTTTCGCGAGCTCGGCTGGTAGTGGACATTTTGGTAATTTTCGAGTTGCAGAACGATGACTTTAAACACTCTGATGGCTTGGCCACTTCTTCATCCAGGCAAAATGGGGGTGAGACAGATGCAGCAATAAACGCACTCAGCTGCATCTTGCTTTCACATGAAGAGTTCCCAGTGACCTGCTTGTTCTCTTTTGTCTGATCTGAACATGTATTGACTTCGCAGCGTTGATGAATTGCTTGAAAATTCAGTGGTGGATGTTTTTCTAGTTGAGCTGGCAAGGTAGGAAGACTGGACCAGTCTCTGCCAGTACTCGCACCGTTTCTAACAGACAACCTTTCTGTTAATCCATGGAGGGTCCATGGATCACAGTTGATTCTGCAAACAGCACCGGCACTGGTTGAATCCCATGGGCATCTGGCGTTTCTGCGCTGCTGGTGCAAGCTCCTTGGTGCTTGCGATGCCAACTCCACTGGAGCGTTCTTTGTCAATAGAAAGAATGTTGGAATGCTTTTCATGTAACTTTTGCGCTTACTGGGAAAGCCACACTGGGCAAGTGGCAAGGGTCCCTTTGTTGAAAAGTCATTATCAACTAGGTGGTTTAAGCTTCAACATGCTCAGCTTGAGAAAGAACATTTGAACATGACAGGAGGGTCGAATCAAGCCTCAAACAATGCACTGTTTTCTTAAAGGTGAAGCATGCATTTGCCCAAGGTTCCGGCAGAAGAATTGCACATGTTTTCTTCAGACTCCAAACTCTTGATGCATTCAGGAGTTGTTGCGGGAGGGCAGACGGGTGTGGATCAAGCAGCCCTTGCAGTTGCACACGAAGTGGGACTTGCCACAGGACATTGCCATCAATCAGGGACGTCCTATGATGGACCATAGGGTTAAAGGGGAGTGTAGCCTGGACTGCTTGCCTGCGGGACTCTCATTAGAGACAATGACAACATGTCTCAGAGTTCCAAGGTTTGAAGAGTACAGCCTATTGCGTCCCGGTTGTTTTGTGAGGTGTTGGGGAAAAATGGTAAAAGGGGGGTTCTGGGGAGGATTTGTTGGTGTGTTGCTTGTTATGATTTTTTGTTGATGTTCAATGTGTTTTCCTTGCTGTTGATGTTTTATGTGTGGGGGGTTCTGGGGTTTTTGGGGTTCTAACTTTTCTGGGGCAGTTGGTTTTAAGATGAGGTTATGCTTTGCTTAGGTTTGCTGTGTTTTTGTTTTGGATTTGGCTTGCATAACACCACGGCCTCGTTTGCTTCGCCGCCTTCAATACCTTCATCATTTCATTGTCCGGTTGCCCGATTTGGCAGAGGGGTTTGGGTGTTTTTTTTTCTGGTGCAAACTCACCATTTGCAGACCCGCCCCGGCAATCCCAAGACGTGTTTTTCTCACGTGTTTTGTTCAAGCTAGAATTTCAAGATAATTTTGGTGTGAGTAGAGTCGAGCCATGGCTGACTGAAGCAATGGTGATTTGGCAACGAGTTGGAGGATGAAGTGGAATGAACTTCGGGAAGATACCACCTTTGGACTGAATGTGCTTACGGCAGGAATTGCAATGGCAGGTGCTGGTGGTATGACAACACTGGTCAAGAGCAGGTTGTATCCTGGCGCACGTCCACCAACGCTTGTTTTTGCGAACCGGTGCCCACCTTGCACGACCTGTGGTGAAATTCAACCTGAATCCCTATCAGCTCGTCCGGCCACGCCGAGCCCTGATCCTGCAAGGCAGAAACCAGGAAGGGAAGACAACCCTGCTCCGCGAGTGCATCCCATGGTGGCGCCGATATGGTCTCTTCGCTTATCATGGCATCTACCTAAATGGTGCAAGGGCAAAAGCGTGGATAGCTTCGAAGAATGGCTGACGACGCAAATGTTCGGCATGACTGCAACCGGAGGCTCTGAGATTGATTACAATTTGGTTCAGTATAGCGAATCGCAATGGTTTCGGATGGTCTTGGAGCGTGTTGGACTACCCATCACCCCCAAGCCTGCCATGGTGCTGGTGGATCAGTTTGAAGAGCTCCTGAAGCGCTTCCCAGTGCAAGCTCGACTGGGCAAACACACTGACCAACCAGCGCACCCGAGACAACCTTGCCCGGGTGATCTTCGTTTGCAACTCGGATGCTGGCTCTCAGACCTTGCTCAATTTGAACCAAGGCGCTCGCTTTGACAGGGTCATCGCGGAGCAGGTGTCTGGGCAAGGTGTGATAGGCTTGGACATGGAGTTGTTCCAGAAGTGTAGTTGCAACTTTGGCATGTACAAGCTCGTGGAGGACAAGATTGCAAGGCAGGAACTTACCGAAGAGCAGGTGGAGGACTTTGTCGGGGCAACCCTTCCATCGGTGGGAGCTGGACTTCCACCTGCCCTACCCCGTGAAGTATGACAGGTCATGGGCAGAGCTGGATGTAGAGCTGATGAAAAAGAGGATGGAAGAGCCCCTTGAGCAGGCTCTCCGCTCAAAGGAGAAGGATCACCGAAGAGGAGATCAAGCTTCGGACGGGCTTTGCCGAAAGGATATTGAAGGATCTCAGCCAGCAACAGATCTTGGACGCCCCCGAGGAGCTGTGGGTGGAGATGCTGGAGAGTGTCAGGGCTGACAAACCAGTTGCTCTGGCTTTAGCCAGCCAGATCAAATGCATGATTTGCTCACCTGTTCCGAAAAGGTGAGGATGCTTTGTTGTTTCACTTCCATTCCGTTTCACCATGCGTGTATTTGTATAGTTGGAGACACCCCAAATTGCCTCGCTTAAAAAGTGTTTGTTGCTTTGCAGATGTCCGGCTTTGTCATGTCAGCCTTGCTTTCTTGATTGTGCCATATCCTTTTTGTGCGCGTCATCCCAGTTTCGCGGACTATACTATACCCCTTAACAATCACCAGAATTTATGCATCCACTTTGCCTTGTTTCCGAGCACTTACTCCAATTGAGAGCAGATTTCCCCATCAGGGATACACCAAAACCAAGTATCAACGATCCCCTGATACCAGTATCCAAGTATCAATCATACCCATAACCAAGTATCAATGATAGCCTGGTACCAGTATCCAAGTATCAATGATACCAGAAACAGAGTATCAACGATACCCTGATACCAGTATCCAAGTATCAATGATACCCCAAAACAAAGTATCAATGATACCAGTATCCAAAATCAACGATACCCGTAACCAAGTATCAATGATACCCCAAACAGAGTATCAACGCGCAAGATGTTGGGGTTCGCGTTGCACGACCCATTGACACAGCACAGAAGCCCTTGGCGTCATTGATTGGACACCATTTGGACTATATCCGTGTCGTTTCCTCAAGCCTTTGCTTGAAAGGCTATTGTTCCGATGGCATTTAGCACTTTATAAGTCCATCCAACCGACAGTAAAGACGCTTGAATTCATCGTCGCCAGTGATAAAAAGCCTCCTAACTGGACACTGCTTTTGTATGCCTTGTCTTGATGCGTCATCGTCGGCAGATAGTTTGGGGAATTTCCCATTTCTTCTTCACCACTTCAGTTTGCTCTGCCCACACTGAGGTTAAGAAGACATCGGGAACACCAACAACTTGAAGGGGTGTCCGTCCTTCTTTCAACCAGAGTTTGGATGGAGTAGTTGGCCTCAAAGCCTCCAGACTTTGACAGTTGGCTTTCGATTCAACCAGAACTTGGACGGAGTGGCTTTACCAAACATTTCCTTTAAACAAACTCATCGGTAAAGATTTCATGAAAGAGTTGTTTTGGAGACTTCTTTATATATGTATCATAGCTACATGCTTCACGGAGATGATACACAAATAAATATATGTAATGAGCTATGTAATTAGTTATATTTTATAGACATATCCCACGTATCCGTTGCTCAACCTGTCCGTTCAGAAGGGTCGTCTTCTTTCCCATCACGAAGTGGCGTTGGTGTGTTCGGGAGCGGTGGTGTCGCTCGCGCGTTTCCAAGTTAGAATGTTTGATGGAGAGAAGGAAGAAGAAGGAGAAGGGGGCTGACCGGATGGGGGAGCGATCGTGGCATTGTGGCATTGACCCAAAAGCATACCCCACCGGCCAGTTCCCCAAGAGTCCTGTTGATTTTTTGTATTTGGAAATTTGAGTTTTGGGTTTTGTTTATATATATATATACAAGTAGGTAATAGCAGAAAGGGTGGTTGGTGGTGATGAGGAGCGAAGAGTTCCTAACCTTTTGGGGGAAACCGAGTTCCTTTGGGAGTGATGACCCCTTTAAAACAGTTTTTACATCACTCCCATCCGTTCATCAGGTTAACTAGCTTGCTCAAGGGTGGCAGGAACAGGGATTTTGAGCGAAGATTTCGTGGAACACCCCATCACTACATCTCACCCTACACACGGATGCACCGCCCAACAACACGCAGCCCGACCCAAACGCGCCAAAAACACTTAAAGAAAAGTCGCCTAATAGAATTAAGATATTGATGCCTTGCTATTTAGTGATAGACGGAGTTAAGAAAGAGATGGAGGAAGACATGATTGACCAAATGGTTGAAGCACTACAACACCCCACAAAACAATCAAAGCAGGTGGGACATGGTAGAACCACTCTCAACGACCCTAAAGGGTCGTCGGAAACCAGACGGAACTTACAACAAGAAACCATTAGATGAAGACTATTTCAAAAATTACTACCGTAAAAATTTGAAAGTTCCGTTCAAGTGTCCCGACTGCGGTCGCACTATTTCATCCAAATCAAATTTGTCAAAGCATCGCCAAACCAGCGTGTGTATGAGGAAACGAAATTCGTGTTAAAACAGAAAAACCTTCTCAACAACATCACTTTTTGCTGAGAACGTTTGTTCGTTGAGGTTCAACCCAAAAGCCCAAGACCTGAACCCCAAACCCCAGCCCAAAACTACTTAAAGATAAAATGACAACATAATTTATAGGGTATAGTATTATGGTTGAACGTTCAGAGCAGATTGTTTTAGATTACCTACTCACCTCCGAAAAGGGGGAAATCCTCAAAAAGAATG